TCCAGATGAACCCTCAATTTCCCTTGTGTGACTTCAAATGATCACAACTTGATCAAATTTTATCCCCTTGAGTACATTATTTTTCCATAATGATCTTAAGGAGGTGAAATTCAATTCTGCTTTTGTTTGCAAAGCTTGAAAATGGATGGAATATGCCTCAAGGATGTAAAAGATTATAGGTCATCTCATGAATTTTCACAAATTTTGCAAGACCATAACTTTTTCAATACTTGGTATTTTTGAGTGATCCAAGTTCCACAATTCTCTTTAAGAAGTATATTTCAAGCTAGCGTCATTGATTAAGGCAAAAGTTTGGAGGAAAGTCTTGTTTGAGCTCAAAACATTATAGGTCACTTTTGAAGAAAAATTTGAAATTTTTCTAAGTACAAAAAGTCAGCCTCTTTTTTCCAACTTTGACTCAGCATAACTTCTTGCTCAAGCATCCATTTTGATCCATTCTTTTCACATTGTGAATCTTGTAAATTCCTCTTTCTAAAGCTTCAAGAATAATGCTCTAAGACCCCTTGAATTGAAAATGCCATTGGTTCAAAAATGGTATCTTGAAACCTAAGTTTCCTCCCAAGTCAGAGTTGGAAATTCATAAATATGGCTTCTAATCACCAAGTTTACGCGCGTTTTGCTTCTAATCATGTTTAAAAAATTTTCAAAAGTGTTTAGCATCATAAAGCGCATGATTTGGCTGAATTTTGGTGAAAAACAAGTTACACATTCCTCATGTTGCAGGTCCACACGAATTCACTCAATTACACCCTTATTCGCACGCTTAAGCATTGCTTCATCCTCTCCTATGAATAAGATGCATATCCCACCTATTTTCACAAGCTTTTGATAGCCAATTGACCCCTGTTAAGATCCCACACGAACTCTAAATTTGAATTTCTGATTTCTTATATTCTCACCTTCAAACACCAAAAGCTCCATTCAGTTAGCTTCATTGAACTTCTCTGAAGCTAACCATACAATTATCCTCAAGAATCGTGACCTATATTGATCTACAGAAGTCCAGTTTCAGTGCAACTTCTCACTACTTCGTTCAGGTAGATTTCTTGGCCAAACTGATCCAAATAAGGACTAACCTACTCTCTGTATCCTTCTGATCCAAGTGCTCTTTATAATTTGTAATTTCATTGAGATTTGAGTGAGATATTCTAGATTTTCGTACTCGCTATTTTTTCTGGTTTTCTTCAAACACAACCTTGCACGGTTTATATAAATTTGGCGTGATGGTACCATTAGAATCATCTTAAAGAGACGAATCTAATGGTGCCGGTCTGGTTTGCTAATTTTACAGTTTGTGGGATACGATTTGGGGATGGCTGGAGGTTGAAAACAATGACATGTCCGTCTTCAACCAATGGCATGTAGCCACATTATTTTTTTTTGAAACAGATGTAGTATGCTTGCCTTACCATGCTCGTGCCTCAGGAACCCTTGGATCTGATTACTTTAGTGAGTCAGACTCCATCCAACGTGCCACATTTTAAGTTGTTTTATTTTAAAAATAAATGATCATGTGTGATATCCAATAAAGTCCATGACATGCACAGCGCGCCATATCCATTGGATCTGTTTACTGACGCATTTTGACAATGATCAGATGGCTCATATTTTTTGGTTCATTATTTTATTTCTGATTTTTTACATTTAATTGTTTTAAACTTCAAAAATTCATAGAAAATTCATTTTAACTCCAAAAATTGTGAAATAATCATGGAAAATACTTTTAATTTTTCTCTTTTGATTTTTATTATTTCACAATTTTATTGTGTTTTGGTATTTCTTATGATTGTTCATTTTATTTGAGTTTTTTTTAAATGTTTAAAATTATCTTTATTCATTTTTAAATTCTAAAAAAAATAGGGAAGGATTCAATGGTATTTTGACAAATATTGGTGACCTCATTTACTTTTTATTTCTGAATTTACTATTTTTCTTTATTTTTGGTTTATTTTGTCTATTTCTTATAATTTTAAAAATAGTTTTTGACTTTAAAAAATTACAAAAATTTCATAAAAATATTTGAGTTTATTTCTGATTTTTCTATGGTCTTATTTAATTTTTCTTGATTAATTTGAACGTAGTTGCTATTTTTCTCTCTTATTTTCATTTTTAATCATTTAAAAAAAACGATTTTTTATATTTATTTTAAGTACAATTTTATTTCTATTTATATTCTGGATGATCTTGGATTGAAATTTTGATCATGAACTTTATTAACATCATTGGATCCATGGTGTTGAGTCTAACTCCACAAAAATGGATGAATGATTTTAATAATAGTTTGATTAAATTTTTGATTCAAATGTGGTTTATTCATTTCCCCTTCCCTCTTCATCTTATCCCATTCTTATTGTACTAAATATTGTTGGAGCATGATTTACATATCATGTCTCAAAACATGAGGTGCATAGGTTGTTATTGACCGACCTCAAAATATGTGCGACTTCTATATAAGTCCACTTACGTTTTCTTAATATAACGCTAAATTTTATCCCGATTTGAGAAAATGATCATTCGTGACCCAAACATGTGTTTGCAAGCCCCAATATGTTAATTCGAATCCTTTGATCCAATAACCTTGAGATCCATTATTAGGATGCGTTGGTTCTACCAATCCTCTAATGGAACTTTATCAATTTTGGTGAAAGTGGATCACTTAAACGTCATTGATCATTTAGTGTTATTTTGAGAATTCTTAAATAGATGATATACTTGACAAAAAGAAAATGCAACTTGTTGTTGAGAGGCGTTGGTTCTACCAATCCTCTAATGAGTTCCAAATGCAAGTTTCAAGATGGTCATTCAACTAACCACTAAATCCTAACAATTGACTTTATTTTTATGCTCTTACTTTATGTACCATTTACTTTAGCATTTACATTTCACGCTCTTTTCATCTTTGTTCACTTGAGCCTCAATCTTCATGTCATTTTTATTTTGCTCACTTGAGCTTTTCATTTCCTTTTGAAAATACCTAATAATCAACTTAAACTCTAAAAAACTTTAATGTTACTTGGACTACTTGGTTACTATCCTTGGCATTGTGGAGATTGTGAACTTCTTGGACTTAGGATTGGAAGCCTTGATCTACCTTGAGACCTTGTGACTTCAATTTTTATTTTGCCTAAAGTTCTTGGGGTTTACCCCCAAGATATTAGGTTATTTGTTTTTTTTGTATGCAGGATATTGTGATTACATGCTTTGTCTGTGATCTGGAATTCAGTTGTATACAACCGTTACTCTGTCCAATTTTTGTGAAGACTTAATGCAATTGAAGTTTGGTATTCTTAAGAGATTTATTAATTGTTTGCTTGATTTAAAATCCAAAGGATGAAATTCTACATTGACTCATTATGTCAAGTATTAGCTTCTTGTTTAGTTAGATGGTCTTTCTCCTTAGCTTTTACCTTATGCTTAGGATAGTCTCTTCATCTCCTTCCATCTTCTTTAATTTCAAAAATCTTCTCCCTCATTTTGAAAAATCTTCTTGTTTTTCTAAAAGAAACTTGAACACTTCATAATAAACTTGGACTTATGTCCATGTATTTTCAAAAATTATTTCTTAATCAAATTTCAATCAACTTAACAATACCTTGACATTTTTTGTGAGAAGACTAAAAGTAAGTGAATCTCATTCAAACTATTTTTCCATTTTGGCTTTTATCTTTAAAATCTTTTCTCAAAAAATTAGACTCTTTTCAATCCTTGTAAGTGATACGAACAACTATACTTCTACAATATATAGTGAAGTGAGATATTTTCCACTTGGGTGTTGAGTGAAGCATTGTTGATTTCAAAATCAAAGCCATATCTTCCACTTTGAGATGACGCAAATTCTCCTTTCCCATAATTGTGGGTAGTAAGTATGTTTTCCACACGGACAACGACAATGACGTCTTGTCTCCTAAAATTAACCAACACATTTGTGTTTTAAATTTTTTAAAGAGGAACTACGAGTACCCTGATCCCCTATTACACCGAAGATGGTACGTAGGCACTAAAGGTTCGCAACCGCGGCGGATGCAAAAATTATAGAAAAAATATAATTCTTTTCTCATCACCACAATCTTTTTTTATATACAACATTTTATAGCCAAAATATATAGATTTTACAATGAAGTTCCTGCGGAGTACCGTAGATGTTTAGGGTTCTAATACCTTCCCTTTGCATAACCAACCCCCTTACCTAGAATCTTTTCCCCTCTTTTGGGTTATTCGCTCTTTTCCAATTCCTTTGGAAACAATAAAGCGCGGTGGCAATTTTTATTTTGATATGTACAAGTCAAGTCAATCCAATGGCTTAGTCTTAACATTTCTACCGTTACAGCAGGTTATTATAAATGCTCTATTAAATAAAAGGCACGCGAGTTAATTTCAGATACGCTGAACATTGAAGTGCTAATCTTACAGGTTTGTATGTCCTCCATCGCATTGGAGACTCAAACCACCGTTTTCATCAAAAAACCTATAATATTTTTTATGAACATAATAAATTCTTAATGATAATTATTATGAACATAAAGTCTCACATACAAGGTAATTTAACAATTATAACATAAAATGATTTCAAAGTTCGACAATTCGAATGGAATTGATTACTATTGATAACAGGGAAAGAAAAGAAAAATGTAATTTGGAACAAGTTCGCCGAAAACAGAATAACAAGAAATATATAACAATATGAGAAGAAAAGAAATCATATATGAGGGTTAAGTCATGAGCTTTTATTAATTTCAAAAGAGATTAAGAAAATAACAGACGCATATATTATTTCACATTTTCTATCCTTCTGAAACCATTAATTATTTACAGAACCAAGACCCTAAAATATTCAAGTTGCAATGAAACAACTTGTCATAACCAACCCACCCTAAAAACATAACTAAAAACAAATCAAAACAAAGAAAAAGACCCAACAATGTTCACTGTCAACTAAGTCAGTAACATAAAAATTGCACAATTGTGCAATTTTCAACCATTCACTCCCAAATTCCAACTTCCATAAACCCATTCTCAGAAGCACATCCTCTAAACATACCATTGCAGTTAAATCCATAAGCAACTTCACCTTTATTAGAAACCGCAATTAGTCCAGCCATTCCTTCATCCAACCGATTCTTAATCACATAATCTACTGCCTCTTGAAGTCCAAGACCTTTGTACTCCATAACAGCAGACACCTCACGCGCCAATGTCCCCCGGATGATTGCCTCGCCTTCCCCAGTGCATGATACTCCAGCAAGTTTACATGCATAGGTACCTGCTCCAATGAGAGGCGAGTCGCCGATTCGTCCAACCATTTTGTTCATTAGCCCGCCGGTGGAAGTGGCGGCTGCACACCTTCCTTCACGGTCAACAACTACGCATCCGACTGTCTCGGGTGCATATACACTCATTGGAAGTCCATTCATTTTCAATGGACTTTCAACTCCTGCACCACATCCTTTGGATGGAATTCGATAATCAAACTGTACCACACAATAAACATTAATTAATAAAAAAATATATCATTGGTTATTAAAAAAAATTACCATTATTTCAAACGTTAAAAATGAAAAGAAAAATAATTATAATGAAACTGTACTATATTATAAATAAATAATTTAAAATTGTATAATTAATTACTTAATTAACATTTGAACCACACTTTGTCTTTATTTCTGTTTTGGTAGAGTTTGGTAGAGATTAAATAATGAGAAAATATAGTAATTGTTCAAAATCATGTTAAAAATATTGTAAAAGATTCTCAATTAGAAATTCTCTATTATTGAAAATTTTGACCAAAATAAGTAGGTTTATCAAATTTTGTGAATCTAGTTGAAAGAAGATCCATAGTTGAAATTAATAGAAATTACGTACCAGAATTGTATTTGCTTCCTTTGCCAGCTTAAGCATACCAATATTGTCAGGAGTGATAAAGTACTCATTGTCAACAACCTCCACACCCTACAAAAACAAAAACAGGTAATAGTAATTAGCAATAATATAATTAATTAAATAAAAGTTTAAGAACACGTGGGGAACTATTAAACAAACCTGTTGTCTTGCAAAATCCTCAGCACCATCAAAAGCAAGATAAGAATGAGGAGATTTGTCCATAACCAATCTTGCGAGAGAAATGGGATTTTTAACGGTGGTTAATCCCGAAACGGCACCGCATCGTCGTTTTGGACCATCCATTATGCTAGCCTCCATCTCGACAGTTCCTTTGGCCGTTAGGGCAGATCCACAACCCGAGTTGAATAGTGGATCCGTTTCCAATTCTCTCACCTTTCACAAACATAACAAACAAACATTACTTGGTAATTTTTATAAAGATTATTAGGAATGACAATGCATATTTGTTTTCTCGATTATGTTATAATGGTTATTAATGTGAGAGATTGTTGCGGTTGGTTATATTAAGTACCACAAGTTCGACAACGTCGATGGCGGAAAGATTGGAACGAAGAGCAGAGATGCCGAGATTGAGAACACGAGTGAGAAGTTGTTTGGCTTCTTCTTGGCGTTGGAGGGGGAGGTCAGGGTCAACACCAGCACCACCATGCACAGCAATAGCCCAACCACCCATGTCTCTCTCTCTCTCTCTCTTATCTGACTAGACTCACTCTGCTCTCTTACCCTTCTGGTGTTTGTTTTATGAATGTTTGGAGTCTGCAACAAAGTAGGTATCGGACTCCTGTTTTTATAGCCGATTTCGGATTTCAATTTTTTATGTGCTCCACTTTATTTTTATTTTTATTTTCACTCTCGTGAGTGGCAACGCTTTTCTTTGGTTTTATTAAAAAAATTATTTCTGTTTTTATTTTATAAATTTCTATATAATAACGATATTACTGCTGTCAATTACTTAAAAAAAACTCTTTTATTTCAGTCAATTTCTGTATTTACTCAGTACAGAGAGTATATACATAGTTCGAGAGAGTATATATATATATATATATATATATATATATATATATATATATATATATATATATATATATATATATATATATATATATATATATATATATATATATATATATATATATATATATATATATATATATATATATATATATATATATATATATATATATATATATATATATATATTGTTCATTAAACAGACCACGTAAGTAATATGAAGTCATTTTAAATGTTTTTAGTACTATGAAAAGATTTTCATGTTGGCTCGTTTTATACTATTATTTAATACAAATTTATATAATTAATTTAAAAATAATAGTATAATTTAACATTTAATATAATTGTGATTCATTGATAGTGTTTATATGATCAATGCATATTCCTTTTTCTCATTAGATATATCAAATATCAAACGCTAATACTTTGTCAATACTTTTGGATATGTATTCTAGAGATATTCAATTTTTTTAATGTATTTTTTCAAATATTCAATTTATAAAAAAATAATGATTTTCTTACAACAATTATTTTTATCCTGGTTCACTGTTAACTAAGTTACTCTAATCCACCCTGCAAGGTGATTTGCCTTCAACAAGGACTTAATCCACTATAATCAAATCGATTACAGACAACCCATAATAAGTCAGATCAACTTTATTGGCACCCCCGATAAGTCAGTCGATCCTTATTGTAAATCCACTCAAACCGCATCAAGAGTCTTCTTGAGATCTGACTTTCACTTGGTTTCTCAAGGATATTACACAGACGTTTCAGTACAAAGAAAAATACCTAAGTGTTTTACAGCAAGATACGAGCAACAACTCCTTGCTTATTTACAAAATTATACACAGAAGATTTCTCTAAAGAGTTTGCACAACGCTTTGGTTTAGTTTTGCTTGAGCTTGATTTAATCTGATAGATTTGTGTAATGTTGATTCTTGTATTTCTTCAGCTTCCAAGTCTCTCTTTTATATCTTTTAAGAGACATTCGTTGAAAGGATATAAAGGTAATAGTAAAATAAAGATATTTATTCTCAACGATCATAATGAGAGTGGTCACAATATAGTACGAAAGGACTGTCCTTACGCCATCCTAGAGGTTAGAGGTCACATAGCACTTTTTGTACCTTTTATACACCATCACACGTTAACCATTTAAAACTTCTTCTTATCTTCAGAGGCTTCAGATAATTTGAATGTTTGAAGCTTATTGTAGAAGAATCACTCTTAAGTATTAGAACCTAAGTCTTTTATTTCAGTCAATTTATGTATTTGCTCAGTATAGCGAGTATATACACAGTTCGTCTAAGAATTTAATTGGAATTATATATATTTATATTGTTCAGTATACAGACCACGTAAGTAATATGAAGTCCTTTTCAATGCTCTCGATACTATGAAAAGATTCTCATGTTGGCTCGTTTTATACTATTATTTAATACAAATTTATATATATTTATATTGTTCAGTATACAGACCACGTAAGTAATATGAAGTCATTTTGAATGCTCTCAGTACTATGAAAAGATTCTCATGTTGACTCGTTTTATACTATTATTTAATACAAATTTATATAATTAATTTAAAAATAATAGTATAATTTAACATTTAATATAATTGTGATTCATTGATAGTGTTTATACGATCAATGCATATTCCTTTTTCTCATTAGATATATCAAATATCAAACGCTAATACTTTTGGATATGTATTCTAGAATATTCAATTTTTTAATGTATTTTTTCAAATATTTAATTTATAAAATATATTGATTTTCTTACAACAACTATTTTTATCCTGGTTCACTGTTAACTAAGTTACTCTAGTCCACCCTGCAAGGTGATTTGCCTTCAATAAGGACTTAATCCACTATAATCAAATCGATTACAGACAACCCATAATAATTCAGATCAACCTTATTGGCACCCCCAATAAGTCAGTCGATCCTTATTGTAAATCCACTCAAACCGCAGCAAGAGTCTTCTTGAGATCTGACTTTCACTTGGTTTCTCAAAGATATTACACAGACGTTTCAATACAAAGAAAAATATATAAGTGTTTTACAACAAGATACGAGCAACAACTCCTTGCTTATTTACAAAATTATACACAAAAGATTTCTCTAAAGAGTTTGCACATCGCTTTGGTTTAGTTTTGCTTGAGCTTGATTTAATCTGATAGATTTGTGTAATGTTGATTCTTGTATTTCTTCAGCTTCCAAGTCTTTCTTTTATATCTTATAAGAGAGATTCATTGAAAGGATAGAAAGGTAATCGTAAAATAAAGTCGTTTATTCTCAACGGTCATAATGAGAGTGGTCACAATATAGTATGAAAGGACTGTCCTTACGCCACCCTAGAGGTTAGAGGTCACATAAAACTTTTTGTACCTTTTATACACCATCACACGTTAACCATTTAAAACTTCTTCTTATCTTCAGAGGCTTCAGATAATTTGAATGTTTGAAGCTTATTGTAGAAGAATCACTCTTAAGTATTAGAACCTAAGTCTTAGAGTCTTCCTAACTTGTCTTATCGGAACCTCGTCTTTAAAGTCTTCAGCACTTGGTTTTAAAAACTTGTTTTTCTTTAAATCATCAGAACTTGTTCAACAGAACCTCGTCTTCATAATCTTCAAAACTTGTAACGCACAGAAGCAAAGCTTTAGAAGGCCTCCAAAGCTAAACCATAAAGTCACGATCAGAACTTCTTGTACTAACGTTCTTAAGACCAGTTGCATAAGATGAATTCCAGAATCTTGACTTAAACTGTAACACGTAACCACATATTTTCATCCAGTAGTGTTTATGTTCAGAACCTAATGACGTCACACACCTTGATACCAGATTTAGAATGTTACAGCAGCAACTACACACTAGAACGAAACCATTAGAGTATACAATTATTCTTTATGATATCATTTAAATTTATCATCAAAGTCTTAAAGCCAGATGTAGAAACACTTTTTATTCTTACAATCTCCTCCTTTTGATGATGACAAAACCATGTATTTTGATAGAACAATTTATACAGGTTAATCACCGTAATCGACAAGTTCCAATTAAGCTTGTAACACTCGAGGGAAAAAAGGGAGAGGAGTGGTTGCATCGCATGTAACACCCGAGGCCTAAGAGAGAAAAGGTGGTCGCCACATTGGAATGAGAGGGATCTTGAGGATATGCAGGTATGTGACTGCATGGTTGAAGGAAGGCTTATAAGGATTAATTGATACTACCTATACCAATAAGATGCATCTTCTTTTCGGTAGCTTATTCATAAGAACTCCACAGTTAAGCGTGCTTGACTTGGAGCAATTCTTGGATGAGTGACCTTCTGGGAAGTTTCTTAGAAAGCGTGTGAGTGAGGACAAATCATACTGAAAAGACCCATGTTGATTTGTAGGGTTATTCTATAATCCTGAAAGCAGTCCGAGGTCTTACAAATGGTATCAGAGTCATGCCTCTCCCAATACGACGTAGTTCGAGGACAAACCATACGGAAGCTGGTGAGCATGTAACACTCGAGGCCGAAAAGGATGAGGAGTGGTTGCACCGCATGTAACACCCGATGCCTAAGAGGACAAAGGTGGTTGCCACATCAGAATGAGAGGGATCCCGAGGCTATGCAGGTATCGGATGCATGGTTGAAGGAAGACTTATAAGGATTAATTGGTACTACCTATACCAACAAGGTCTTACAAATGGTATCAGAGTCATACCTCTCCCAATATGATGTAGTTCGAGGACGAACCATGCGGAAGCTGGTGGGCATGTAACACTCAAGGCCGAAAAGGATGGGGAGTGGTTGCACCGCATGTAACACCCTAGGCCTAAGAGAACAAAGGTGGTCGTTATATCGGAATGACAGGGATCCCGAGGCTATGCAGGTATGGGATGCATGGTTGAAGGAAGACTTATAAGGGTTAATTGGTACTACCTATACCAACAAGATGCATCTTCTTTTCGGTAGCTCATTCATAAGAACTTCATAGTTAAGCGTGCTTAACTTGGAGCAATTATGGGATGGGTGACCTTATGGGAAGTTTCCCGGAAAGCGTGTGAGTGAGGACAAATAATGCTGAAAAGACCCGTGTTGGTTTGTGGGGTTAGTCGGTAATCATGATAGCAGTCTTGGGCGTTACAAATATGTAACACTCGAGACCGAAAAGGAAGAGGAGTGGTTGCACCGCATGTAACACCCGAGGCCTAAGAGGACAAAGGTGGTCGCCACATTGGAATGAGAGGGATCCTAAGGCTATGCAGGTATGGGACTGCATGGTTGAAGGAAGGACTATAAGGATTACTTGGTACTACATATACCAAAAAGATGCATATTCTTTTCGGTAGCTCATTCATAAGAACTTCTTAGTTAAGTGTGCTTAACTTAGAGCAATTATAGGATGAGTGACCTTCTGAAAAGTTTCCCGAAAAGTGTGTGAGTGAGGACAAATCATGCTGAAAAGACCTGTGTTAGTTTGTGGGGTTAGTCGATAATCATGATAGCAGTCTGGGGCGTTACAAATATGTAACACTCGAGACTCCCCTGAGCCCAAGACTCGCAAAATAAATTTTGAGTTTTCAGAACATAGAAGTAGAGAGAGAACACTTTCCTACAACAACTCATCAGAGTCTAATTAGAACACCTGATCTTCATCTTAGAA